TTGATTCAAGAGATATAAAGCCTTCTTGGGAAGTATATAGAATCTTATAAATTGGATTGTGAGTAATTAATATACTGAGATAATTAAAAAGCTTAAAATTTTAAAGTTGGTTGAGCTTTTGTTAGGACTATCAATAATAGAATTAGAATATGTTAAGATGTTTGTAGATGACCAAATATTGTTTTGAAGTTGTGAAGATAAATTTGAGAACTAGTGCCTAGAAGATCAGGGTTGTTAATTTGCTTAATATAATTAGTAATATAATGTTGAAGTTAAATATTCCAGATATTATGAATATTATAAAGTTGTAGATGAAGTAGAGTACTTGTAGGGATTGTATAATTTAGCTTAGCTTTGTGCTTAACAAGTTTAATATAATGTAAAAGTATTTGTTTACAGATTTGTTAGCTAAATACAAGATTGTGAAGTCAGTATTCAATAGTTGGTATAATAATAGTATTAATGATATATTGAGCATATATGTCAGTAATATGCTTAGTATCTGCAGTATGAATAAGGTGTAGTGATTCCTTAATAATAAGTTGTATTTGTTTTGAGAATTTGTTATTAAGTGTGAACCAGCATCCAAGAAATTTGAAGAGAATATAAAATGGGTATAAAGATAATAACTGTTGGTTATATATAATAGGAGTATACTAAGAAGGAGGGTTATTTGTACAAAGTATAGATTTAGTAGGATTAACTTGTATATTAGCTATATTGTAAAATGATTAAGCAGTATAGAGTATTTAAGAAGTTCATTTTGTGAGGAGGCTAGCCAGAGAGTATTATCTATATAGACTAGTACTGAATATCTAGCTTGAAGTTTGTTGAATAATCTATTCTTGAAACTAGTGATCCAAGATGTTTGTATAGTATATCTAGAAAACTATAAGTGGATATATGATATAAGTAGGTTATAATATATTTTCCAAAGAAGCAGAGTAATAGTTTCACCTTGATCAATATCATTTTGAACAGAGTATAAAGGAGTTAGTCCAAGGTTAGTTATAACTGATTGTAGTAATCAGTGAAAATATTAATTATAGTTTGGATAATAGAAGCTAGTAGAGCAAGCAGAGCAAGTAAGTGTTGGAGTAGAGAAAGATTGACAGAATCATAGGCTTTACTTATATCTTGAGACAAAAGCCATATATCTTTGTAGTTATATATAGCATCCTCAAATAGATTATTAAGAATATGTATAGAAGTTGTAATAGAATTTTTAGGTAGAGCAACATAGTTGAAAGGTGATAGAATAGAATGGTTTTGAAATACAATGCTGAGTCGATTGGTAATAATTTTAGTATAGATTTTGCAAATATGTTCTACAAGACTAATTGGTCAAGTAAGATTGAGGTTGCTATCAAAAGTATTATGTTTGGATATAGAAAATATTCTACTATTTTTTTATTGTTTTGGAATTTGGCCTTAGGTAAGACAAAAATTAAAAAGAACTGTGAGATCTTATAGACATGTTAAGCCACAGTGCTTTATCATTTCAAAGCTAATACCAGTAGGTCCACAAGCTTTGCTATTTGGAAACTTAAAGATAATTGAAGTTATTTCTTTAATTGTAATTGTTGCCAAGAGCTATTAAAAAGTGTTTGGTTAATAGGTTTATAAGCAGTCCAGTTATAAAAATGCTATTGAATATGTTGTTTAATAAGAGTTGGCTCAGTAATTAATTGATCTGATAATTTAATATTTGAGAAATATATAGAAGCTTAATAGTGATTAAGAATACTGTTAATAGCATATATAGGTTTGCTAACAAAAGTTTCATATCTCTTTTCAGAAACTTGTTGAATTTGTTGATGGAAAAGAGAGTTTTCAGTATAGATTGCATGTACAGTTAGTACTATATATCCTGAGCATGATTTATCCAATCTAGAATTTAAGCAGAATCTGAACTTAAAAAAGTTTGGAGATTATATTGAGATCGTGAATTAATATTCTGAATTTGTGAGTTAACTAAAGAGATATCTAGAGTTATATTAGTATTTTTTAGATTTTTGATTAGATGACCAAGTTTTTAAAAAAACAGGTATAGTTGTATATTATAAGGGTATATTTGTAATTATAGCTACATTTATAGCTAATTTTGTTTGGAATAGTTGATGTAGCAGCATTTATAATAAAATATTTAATCTTATACCATATAGTGTCTATACTTTAAGAGGTTTGTAGTAATAATAGTATTTGATATTAATTGAGTTTTGTTGTAAGAAGATCTGAAAACTCAGACCAATTTTCTGAGGTCATATCTTTATAATTAAATATACGATAGCTAATACTTGTACACAAATGAGAAAGTTTGCTATAAGCATTAAAAAATGTTCAAAATGTATTAAGTATAAAATGATTACTCGAGTACTAGTATTACTAGTATCTAGTCTATATGATAAGAGGAACTGGATATTGTTACGAAAAATTTTAACAAAATTTTTCATAATTTGCATTTTTGCTATGTAGTTTCTTTATCTTCCTGTATAAAAGTAGTAAATATGATAGTAATAGCATGTGTACAGGTTCAAAACCTGGGGTTAGGGTTTAAAACCCAGAATCTAGATTCGAAACTCTGGATTCAGGTTCAAAACCCCAGATCCAGGTTTGAAACCTTTGAACATCAAAATGTATAAATAGGGTGCTTGTCTAGTAAATAAAGTAACCTTTCCTGACTTTTTCAAAATCTTTCTTACTCTGCTCAAGTAATAAGTATAGTGGATACATGACATAACTCATTTTATTTTTAATCTGATAATAAGTATATAATAAGCTCTGACTTTGTCTAATAAGTAATATGTGGTACCTAACTTGGACCTATACGTAATCTGTAGAGACCTAACTTGGACCTATATATAACCTGTAGAGACCTAACTTGGATCTATACGTAACCTGTAGAGATCTAACTTGGACCTATACGTAATCTGCCGTGACCTAACTTGGATCATAAATAATCTGCAGCAATCTATAATGACCTAACTTGGACCCTAAGTAACCTAAATATAACTCTTGACCACCTCTTGCGAATATAGCCTTATTGAAGCAATGATACTTACCACAATTGATAATTGTTACTATATACGGATCCGGAACTATGCAACTTATCATCAGGATTTATGCCTATGGCATTGGACTAAATTGGCCTGGATATATAAAAGCTCTTCCTAATCATAACATTTTGGTGCCTATTGTATAGAAGAACAATAGAAGGCATTGATAATCATGTGGATGAACAAAAGAAGATGTCGATATTCTTGTGAACAAGTAGTTGGCAATAACAATTGTACGCTGAAGTGTGTGAATAAATGTTGAGTATGAACGAACATTGATAGTATTATATGAACAAACATTGATAACATTGATTGATCAAGTGTTAACAATTATTGTAAGCAAAGTGTTGATAAGTGTTGTATGTATAACGTAGACAATACTGTGTGGATGAACATTAATAGAATCGTACAGTGAATATTGAATGAGGATAAAACATTTCAGTAATAAGTGTAAGCGTCGCAACAGTAAGAGGACGAACGTGTATACAACAATAGTGTGAACGAGCGTAGATATAATAGTAAAAGCAAGCATCAATATAATAGTAAAAGTGAGCATTTGTATAATAGTATATGTAGATAATTGGTATAAAATGTGGAGAAATACCTTTAAAAATACAAATCTTGAAAATGAGAATCAAAATTATAAACAAGAAAATAATGAAAACTTCTTTAGTAATGGCAATTCTCATCGAAATGAATGTCTTTTGGATAACCCAAACCACCAACTCCAACAGTTGCTCCAAATCATGGTAGATGTGTTGGCATGATCTAAGGAACCTCAAACAAATCTTGGCAAAATAGATTTGGTAAAGATCCCAATGTTTAGCGAAGAAAAACAAGACCCTATAGAATGGTTGGAGTCAATAAAATGAGCATTCGAAACAAACAATATTGTAGAAACTAGGCAGTTTTAGTTGCGGATCAGTCCTGCTATACTGTGATGAGAACAAAGAAAAAGTTAAATACTATACTGAAATAATGAAGCGATGCAAGACCAAGGTTTGTATACCAATTCTGACAAACTTTCTGCATAGCAGACCTAATAAACCAGTGGACTACAAAATTATTAACCTGACAACAACAAATAGACGAGACAGTAGACAGTACACTGATGATGTAGTGTCCTTGTTTACACGTGTATTAGCTATAGAAGTCCAGTATTCTGAAGTAACGAAAGTTCAAATATTTATGCAAGGCCTCCATTCTGAATTATTATTAGCCTTTGGAACCTTTATGCCAAATACGCTTAAAGAAGCTATTGAAAAAGCCCAAGCTTGTGAAATGTCCTTTGCCCAAAAGAATGTTATATATAGTCCAGCTGCACCACATGATTCAATATTACATTCATATTTACAATATTGCCACTATCATCTGAACAATATATTCTGTGACTCAGTCTACGCTTCTCATAGCCTAGCAAACTGTACTGACCCAGCTCTCGAATAATCTAATTAAGCAAGTTTTGGTTTTATTACAAGATGTAGTTACAACAATGGGTAATAATAATGATAACAATAACTGTTCCCATCCCCTGTCAAATGAAGCATAGTGTAAAAAACAAATTGACCATCTGTGTGCTTCATCAATCAACAAATAGGACACATTGCCTACAAGTGTCCAAACAATATTTTTGTAAATGATAATGGTAACAGTTCTCCAACTCAATACCAAGATAATGCCACTGTCAATAGAAATAGAATCGTAAAAGAAGCCTCAGTAGTACAAGCAATGGTAGCCCAAACCCAAGAAACCTTGGAGTATTCGATATTCAATCACCATCAAAAATCTGCTGACTTGGGTAATGATGACGCAACATACAAGGTTGGATATTGTAATAAAAATGAAACTGGTCTTGAAAAGGGTGAAGCATTTGGACAGCATTCAACTAATGCTGAAGGTGACAATTCAAGAGGCAAAGAGAGTTTTGGATATCGTAATATTGAGATGAAGGTTAAGGGCAATGAAACGTATAAGCGTGGCTGTTATAGTAAGGGTAGAAGCTGGGTAAATACTAATATAGCAAATCAAAAAGGTAACTATAAAACCTACAATTATACTGGTGAAGTTATTAAGGATACTAAAGCTGCCAGTAGCATTAAAGGTAAAGCATTTGAGCATTATTTAAGACCAGTTAACACAGATAGAACTGATAGTATTAGTCTTGTGAAGGATGAAGTACAAATGTTGGCTATACATGATCAAAACTTGTCAAAGTATTATTCGAATCCTGATAAAAATAATAACTAGAAACTTGTTGAAGCCCAAAATTCTAATGATCATAGGGACCTTGAAGATTATATCTGAGAAGAAACCAGTAATATGAAGACTGATGAAAACGTTGGTTTTGAACATTGGTTATGAACATTGTAGTGAAAATGAAATTAGGGCAGAAAAGAACAAGCATAAAAATGTTAAAAGAAGTGCGGAAAATGGTGAGAGAGAAAAATTGATAACAGAAGATAGGTTTGATAGCGATGAAAGATTGGAAAGATAGCTTGAAAAAATAGTTCAACAAATTGAAGACAACATAGACAAATGCATTAAGAGTAAGGAACAAAGTAGTATTATTGAGAGTGCAAAGTGAATGAAGATGAAGAAAAAAAAAAGTGATGAACCGAATGAGATAGTTAGTATAGTGGTAACGAATCTTCACAAACAAGCAAAAAAGGAGAAGAAAACTTATCATTATCAGATAACTAACTGGCATGAAGATTGAATGCACAAGTGAAATACCCAATAGTGAGATCATTAAAAATAAGCATAAACTGTTTAATGAACCTGGATTATATATAATAATAGCAATGCAGAGGAACAATATAATTCTGGATGGTGCTACCAAAATGGTAAAAACTCGAATAAGGATGGACAAAAGGTGCTTGAACGGAGTTGGAAGACTAGAGAAGGTCAAGATTGTAATGACAAAATAGTAACTCAGATAACTAATCCGATTAAAAAAAACTATTTTATGAATGAAGTGAAATGCATCCCTATTACTTGGGCCATAGAGAAATTTGGCCAGTATTTACGAAGGCCTTGACTCACCAAGATAATCAACTGTTGTTTCAATGTTCTTGAATCTGACACAATGTGTGTTTGACCCAGAAGGAAAGTCTAAATAAGTAATAAAAAAAGGGAGAAAAAATATATATAATAAGTAAAATGAGTGAATAAATATATGAAAAAAAAAAATGCTGATACATGTCACTTGCCAACAAATTATTGTCTCGGTGCTTGATTGAATGTTAGATTCTGACTTTACAGAATTGTTGGTAAAAGCAAGAAGGATGAATTTAGGAGGATGTTAACGGGTTTGACAGAGCTCCCCTATAAGAGAAGGAATATATTACGAAAAATTTTGACAAAATTTTTCATACCTTGCATTTTTGCTATGTAGTTTCTTTATCTTCCTATGTAAAAGTAGTAAATATGATAGTAATAGCATGTGTACAGGTTTGAAACCTGGGGTTAGGGTTTGAAACCCAGGATCTGAATTCAAAACTCCGGATTCAGGTTCAAAATCCCAGATCCGGGTTTGAAACTATTGAATATTGAAATATATAAATAGAGTGCTTGTCTAGTAAATAAAGTAACCTTTTCTGACTCTTTCGAACTTTTTCTTACTCTGCTCAAGTAATAAGTATAGTAGATATGTGACTTAACTCATTTTATTTTTAATCCGATAATAAGTATATAATAAGCTCTAACCTTGTCTAATAAGTGATACATGGTACCTAACTTGGATCTATACATAACCTGTAGAGACCTAACTTGGACCTATACGTAACCTGTAGAGATCTACTTGGACCTATCCGTAACCTATGGAGATCTAACTTGGACCTATATATAATCTGTAGTGATCCAACTTGGACTATAAATAACTAGCAGCAACCTATAATAATCCGACTTGAACCCTAAGTAACCTAAGTATAACCCGTAATGACCTCTTGCGAATATAGCCTTATTGAAGCAGTGATACTTACCACAATCAATAATTATTACCATATACAGATTTGGAACTATACAACTTATTATTAGGATTTATGCTTATGGCGCTAGACTAAATTAGTCTGAATATATAAAAGCTTTCCCTAGTTATAACAATATTAAACTGATCAGTCCAGATATAGTCGATT